TAGTATCTAAATAATTAAAAATGTTCTTAATATATTCGTTAAAACAAGATAAAATTAAAACCGTTGAGATTACTTCACTTAAATTAGGAAATCTTTGTATATCACCCACATATTTTAAGTTAATACACTGACCAGTATTTTTTAATATCATCAGTTGTTTCAAATCCACATTTATTATAATCTAAAAGAGCATGACCTTTTCCATTTTTGATTAAGTTCTTGAATATCAAAAAAATCCTACAGTTGTATAAATCTGACTAAGACATGTTGAAGAGATTTTATTTGAAAGGATTGAGGAACTTTTGCTCGTGTGGAGTGATGAGAATCCTAAAGAAACACGACAATAATGACATTACCTGATTGCCACAGCAATCAACATCTTGTTTTCATCGCCTACTGATCTCAAAGTTTTTAATCCGTGACGCTGCTACGCAAACAGAAATGCACAGACCTGCAAATAATGCTATTTCTTTCAAGAATGGCTTTCTGTAGGCGATTTTATCAAGAGACAATATTTTTTTTTAAATAAAACGACCATTTCAATGTAACTCTCCGTTTTAAAAAAATATGACCATTGTAAAAGTTTTGACCGCTAAAAAGGAGAGGTAACCGGAGAAAACTATCAACCAATATATCGATATGACTAAAGCTTTAAGAACTAATACGCCATAATAGTCCAAATAAATGTGCCAAATTTTAACGCGATCGGTAAAAGGGTTATGACGTTATTAATTAAATTAGTTTTATTTTTGACAACTTTGAAGGCTTGTAACTCAAAAACCAAAAAGTTTTTGTTTAACTTTTTTCGTAGATTGTATTTATTTATCGTCGTGAATATGCAGTCAAACGTTGTCGGTGAAATTTGCGGACAACCTGTATAAAACGCCCTTCAATAAGTCGTTGGCTTTTCTAAAATCAATCTGTTTTTGTTTTCAATACTGCAAATATTAATTTTCCAAACGTCAACAACTTACTGATGTGCATGATTTTTATATGAACCTTGCAACTTCAAACTGTAATATTTAAAGTAGTGGTGCCTTTGACTCAAATAGTAAATCAAATTCAATTAATAATCCCAAAATATAAGATATACATTCTAAATATTTTAATATAAACTTATTTTGCATAGCTTTCTGCAGCTCCGTTATTTTGGAAGGGTCATCGTACACAAACTGACTCAAATATGCCTTAAGCGATTCAAACTGTTTAATAACATGATCAACATATTGATTTAAGGAAATCTACTGGGTTGTTGATGGGGTCAATTTTATGAATTACAGTTTTAAAAATTCTTAAATTCTTGTTGACTACAACTTCTTTTAAAATGTGATCTTAAATTTCTCAATAAATCTTCCAGATACCTAGGCAGTTGACAATTTCACTTAACTTAACCAATAAATAGGATGTCTATATATGAATATACACGTACATATATTAATATACACTGTATATGATTATTGAAACTAAATAGAAATTTTTTGAGAGAAGTGTGTTCATACATACACAAGTAATTGTTACTATTCTTGTGTCCAGAAATTTTTTTTGCGTGTCAAATTATTTCGCTTTTAAGAAAACATTTTTTTATGAAAGAAACGATACGTTATTTCAAGATATGAATCATTAATACCGAGGGGAAATACTGCATAAATTACGAGGATTAGATCTCAAAACAGGCGATTATCTACACTTCCTTGTCCTTGAAGGTTGTTATTTATTGTTTGAATTTTTGTTTTTGTTGATATTAAATATATTCAATTTTAAAATAATTATGCTTGGAACTAAAAACAATTGCGTGATGTTTTGCAATGTATAGAAGTTAATGTTTCGATAAGAACTTGTTTAATTAATTCATTTTGTAGAACATATAGAGCTTTTTACTTATTTCCATAAATGTAAACAATGTGTTAACAGCTTTTGGTACCTAATAAAATGCATTTTTGTTTTCAATGTTTTTTTGTTTAATGATGTCTAAAAGCGTTTTCCGAAATTATTTTTTGGAACACGTGCTAAAGTTTTAAATATGCTACAAATTATAATAATTAAATAAATATAAACTTAGTCACGCCTGTTATTTCTTGAAAATTATGTAAATTTTCGTCTCTTGCTAGAACCTTGAAATATTTTGTTTTATTCGCGGTTTTTCTGAAGTTTAAAATAACTTATTAACATTTTAATGACGTCTGTCATTAGGAGGTTCATTTGAATTCTCAAAATTATAATTTAAAAGTTGTTTTCAAATATAACTTGTTTTTTAAGAAAGTTAGTTGGAACTTTACGTGAGCTTTTATTCAGTGTCGGCACATTATTTGTGCAATTCTATAATTAAAAAAATCAAAACGAGGATGGAGGAAATGGGAGTAGTAGTTCTCATTACCCTCTCCAACTTTGTGCACACGTATCATTCAAATGTCTTGTTTTGCGAGCGTTTCTTTCTTGTAAGTACTTTGTTTCACTCCAGTATAATTTTTTTTAAGGCCAGTTTAAAAGACGTTACAAAATCCTTAAGTATGTGATATTGTTTCATTTGCTGCTTTTTATTTTTCAATTTATTTTAAACGACGAACGATGAAACGACTCAATATTCTTCAAATTTCAAATTCTACTTAATATCTAACAATCAAATTGGCTTTCCTGTTAAGATTTATTATTATTATTATTATTATTTGTTTTATTTTTTTGTAATTATAGCTTCAGCACAAAATATGTAATTTCAATTTGACAATTGGGGAAACTAATTGCATTAATATAATGTAAGTTTTCATTCGTGAAGATATTTTGACTGATTTCTTATGTTTGTCTTCCAATATTGAAATGCAGGTTACTTAACTTAAAGTCTCGGTTTTAAATTAATCTAACTTCTTATGTTAATAAAATTAAAGCAAAAGCTATTGCCAAAGTTGATATCTCAAATGTTAGCCGCCATCAAAATTTCGCCAGAATGGAAGAAATCGAGGAAGCAAGTGTACCTTCCTTTCCTTCGTTTGCTACATTCGCCTCTTTTAGTCAAGTTTGGAAAATTTCAGCTGCATATTCTAAAAAACGACAGAAATGTATGTAACACCGTGTATATTAAAAAAAAAACTAGTAAACCCAAAGTATTTATATTTAAATAATAGGTATACACACGAGTAATTTTAAATGATTAAGAATCAGTAATTAGAAATCATTCTAAATCACCACATAAATATGAATAATTGTAGAATTTGCAAAAAAACATTTAATATAATTTATTGGTACCACTTTTTTTAAATTGTTGTAATTTCCGAAATAAATGTACTGCGACCAGACCAATATTTTTCATTTTATGTTGTTTACATCCCAAATCTTGTTTTTCAAATTTACATTACCTACCCATTAACTATTGAATATAATCACATGATATAGAAAAAGAATATTACGTAGAAGCACTAACAATATGTATTTTTTTTATTTAAATATTCAGAATTTTTTAAATTTAAAAAAAAGGTGATATATGAGAAACATGATAACCTTCAGAATTCCACAATAAAAATTAACATTTCAGTTCAAAAAAATAGAAAAATTTATATTGTTGGGCGTGTTACAAATAAAGGTAAAAACAACTTATTTTATTGACATCACAACTGTACAGGTTATATTACAGAGTGTTTATAATTATCACTGCTACTCAATGCTTACTAGCACAAAACTTTGCTTTGCACCTACTGGCGTAGAGTGACCTACTAATTAATCTATAATAATATAATTCGTCTCACTAATGAGAACGAATAAGTTCAAAATAGAATTGGAAATTAAACAAGCACAACATGTTCATGGGTAGTATTCAATAATAGAATATTTGTGTAATCAGTATCCAAATTTTGAATACTTGATATGTATTCAGGATTTAGTAAACGGAAATAGTAAATAAGTGTAGTTATGAATAACATGATATCGATGAGTACCCAAATACTCAATACCGATAATATCTAAAATAGTCTGGTAAAAGTTGAAAATCACTACTGTTCATACGTAATTGGACGTTTTTTTCTGTAATTCGGTATAAAAATGTTTTCTTCATTATATTTTGATAAATACTTTCTTTTAATTTAAAAAGCTCTTAGTTCTAGGAGAACTTCTACATCACGATTGTGTGACAATATTTCAAAAATTTTACTTATACCAGTTTATAAATTTACGCACATGTTTTTACAATCTTTGGAGAAGTACAAACCATTGTCGTTTTTTTGAGACATGGATATAGTAGTACACAGTGAATATATCGCAAGAATTAGTTGGATGCACATTTCGAACGGTTCGGAACCAATATGTGACTCCTGTTGGAACAGACCTATATTGTATTCATATAATGTGAACACTATAGAATACCAGTATTCTGATTTCGAGTACGAGTTCTTTAACTGTTGTATTCGGGATTCAAATAATCATGGATACTTTTCAACAGAGCATTATGAACTGAAACACTTTTCTAAATTCATACCCAGCTCTGTTCCCAAACCAGCCTTTATTTAGGTACTTATGAATAATACGCGTGTAATTCAATGCTGGACGAAGCTTTAGTCCACAAAGTAGCTGTTTCCCACCATAATCATTAGTTCAAATCATAGTTGTAGTTGATGCAATAAGTACTTATTATCGTGTAGTGAGGAAGGATTACATTAAAGTCAGCGTATCTATGGCATAAAATGTACGAATGTGGATATAATTTCAAAACTAAACGCTGTTATAATTAATTATAAATTAATACATGCAACACATTATCAGAGACTAAACAATTTAACTTGCTAGTGTTTATGATGAGACAATTTTATACCTATTCAAAACGAACGAAAAAATAGAATTAAATTAATAGAATATGGTAGAGATGAAATATTTTCTTAAAAATGCCTGTGTGGGCATAATAGTATAAGGTTGCCATTATTCACTAAGACAAATGGTCCGTACTCTAATGGTTTAAAATGTCTCTCTTTGTAGAAAACACTATCGTGAGAAAGGCGGTCTTAGTACTTTTTTTTTTCTAGATCCTCGGACAACCGACTGGCCTTTAATGCACAGTCCGGTACCAACAATCATGATGGTGTTGGGTTACCTCTACGTTATCCTCTTTCTTGGCCCAAGGATGATGGAAAATCGGAAACCGTTCAAGTTAAGAGAAGTTCTTGTAATTTACAACGGTGCACAAGTCCTATACAGTTTGTTTATGTTATATGAGGTAGGTAATATATTTACTAAACTAATTTCTAACTGGATTTAAGCTTAAACTCTATATAATTATCATTTGTACACTCATTCCAAATAATATAAATTTTTTATTTGTCTTTAAATTTAAAAGTGTTATTTACATATACAGGGTGGGCCACCAGTAACGCCTCGGTCGCTAGTGACCAAACGGCAAATGTTATAGAAACCTGTTTAGGTGGGTATGTGTAGGTTGATTACGCCTACATTTTAAAAATATTTTGAGATGTACAGGGTGTCCAGGAAAAGCGTACCATATCAAAGTTATGTTTTTTTAAATGGAACACCCTGTATTTTACTGCATTTTTGAAAGCTCCGTAAAAAAATAGGTGAACTTTATTAAAGGTTCTGCATACCTAGGACTTATAGTTTGTGAAATATTTCAATTTTAGTGAAAATGCAAGCATAGTGTAGAAATTTAATTTAGTAATAAAAATATATTTTTAAGGAAGCAGCTTTGGAGGGTCTATTTTAGATGCTTGAAGTTATAAATTGTTATATTTGTCGTCACTTAGTATTATACAGGGTGTTCAAAAAACTGCTGAATACTTCTCTCAACTTTAAACAGCATTAACTTGATTATTTTAAACGGAACATCCAGTATATTTTTACTTTGGGAGTTGGGAAATTTAAAACTCTTTTAAACTGTGTATAGGTTCCCTATAGCTATCTCTAACGGTATTGGAGATATTTGTGCCGTTTCGTTTTTATCGATTTTTTTTGTAAGATGTATCTACGTGTCTTTATCGAGATCTTTACTGAATTGGTTTGGGTTATTCTCGCTCACTTATATAGTTTGATCAATAAACATTGAATAAAAGTCATCGTAGAAACCCTTGTTTCAACTCAATCAACAATAGTGTTTTCGATTTTCAAATTTTTAATGTCAATTAGATAAAAAAACGCAAATATTTTCAAGTCATTCAGAAGCTCTTTTGAAAAGTGATTAAATTAAAAATTAAAGTATAATCTAAAAGGGAGTTGCACTTCCAAAAATTTGAAAAGTTGTATTAAAAGTAATTGTACATTGACGAAACAAAAAATTATCCATAAATGCATCTACGTTTTATTATTAAATTATGTCTGAAAACTAAATTACTCTTTTTTGTCACTGACATTTTTATTATTTCATTCGGAGTCTGAGCTACTGCATTTCTCTTTATTTCAACAATCATGACTGTTATTGTAATACTACGAGTAAAAACAACTGTACTGTATAATAAAAATTAAACTCACTGCGGTTATTCAGTCGAGAAAAGTTCATTCTCCTAAGAGTTAAATAAACTGAAAATATAAATAAAACCTTGCTACTGTTATACCATTAACCGTGTGAATGAAGTAATTTATCTGTGAAAGATATTTTATAAATTATGAAACGCGGTTTGTCGAGGTCATGTAGCAAGTACCGTTTATATAATACCAATTCGCTGGTAGCTAGTACCATTGCCAGTAAACTTTCTCTACAAGGACGTTCGTTGCCATCGCAAGGTCAATTATCGTTTCATGGACGTAGAGAAAGTGAAAAAAAAATGTTTACCGTTGTATAATGCATGTATGATATTTATATAATAGCAATGTCAAGGTTAAACGCACGTTATGAGAAACTTTGTAATGGAATGAGGGAGGCACTGCATTCAAATTTATTTGTAGATATGAACTAAATTCTGCAGATTATATATACACTGTTTTCATTGTATTTAAAGATTGTACAGGGTTATGTAGTATATTGTTATAAAGGTTATTCCACCTCAGCTTCCTTATTTTTAAGTTTAGAAGAGTAGTACTAACTCAAAAAGAAAGTTGTACAGCTAGTTTTTCTTGTGAATACTGAATTTTGTACAAGTTGTTTGTATAAAAAGCGTAACAAAACAAACACATATTTTTCAATGAAGATCCTATATCTGAACAAAACTTTTTTTTGGAGATTACAATGATGTCATATTTGATGGGTCTGCTTGTAATTGTAAGAGTAAGGTAGTGTCGTATCAAGGTCCTTGTTATTGGTCCTTGAGGAATTGGGTTACTATGGACTTCTACAACAATGTACAGTAGGTACTTGCGGAATAAACGTTATTGAGGACCTCCCGTTAGTCAGCTTCTTTCCTGCTTTGTTCACTTAAAGCTTGGAACTTGGAATCTGATATTTGGAGAGTAGTCTGTTGTGGCTACTTAAGGTCTGATACCCTCTTGGTGGCACTTTTCGTAGATACTTTCGACTGAGCCTTTTTGCACTGTTTTGTTTTGGAGCACTTCTTGTTTTGTATTTCACACTTGTTGGTTTCTTTTCACTGTCTTTCTTTTTGATTTATTGAGTACGTTTGTATAGATCCCGGGACGGTAGGAAAGCCTTTGTGGTTATAGCAACTAAGATAATAATTTGTACTGAATGCAAAAAAGTTTAATGAATATTGTGTATAATATTGGCTTGGTAACATGCTATACAGGCTATTATAAATTCGCTTCTCACCACAGGGATCTCGGAAACGGTAAGAAAAACGAAGTAGCTTAAATGGGGCAAAGTTACATAATCATAGGACCAACATTATGCCTTTAAAAAATCAAGGCTAGGATTGACATTTTGGAAATCCGTTTTTGTTTCGTTTCAGCCTTGTTTGAAGTGATATTGAAAAAAAAGAAGAACACTTTCTCATGACAACGTTTTGCCCTGTACATGTAACGTTTCCATCATCAACTAATTTTTTTTAAACACGACTCTGGAAATTTTATTACATTTTTTGCAAACCTTCATGACCTCCAATACTGTACTGCCTCAGTTCGAACCAAATTCAGACGCTTTATCTCGAAAAATCCATCTTCAATGTATTTTTTCCAAAATTATCTAAATTTTTATTTAGATTCCTGTTTATTGAATACACTCCAAGTGTCGTTAGACTCTGTGAAATCCACCTAGTTATTTAAACTATTACCATCACACGTTACAATAAATCATTATTAAAGTTTTAATCCCGTGCTCATAGTTATTTCTAGGTTGCTCGAGTGCTTTCTAGGTTGTTCGAGTGCTCAGAATTCAAACAAACTTCGATCTAATTTGTTTCAGGATATTCATACAAATACATATGACATGCTCTTTCATAGTTGCGGTTACAGGTATAATAAATTCCGATCATATTACGCTTATATTCATTTTCAACGTTTGCCACAACGGAAACGTTTTTGAACATTTTTTTTAAAGTTATTTGAAGTTTTGATTGTTCATATGCATTTTTAAGAATTAATTTTTGTCATAATGAAATTAAAATTGTAATAATGTTTTAATATTGACGCAACAACTTATCGAGTTATGTATGACCAGAATGGTCTTCTGTATATACAAAGGGACGATAATGAATTAATAGTCGTACAATACGTATTGGTCAGACACTTCGACCTGGTTAATGATCTGTAGATGACCAGGGTCGAAGTTCAAACACAGCTATTGACATATTACGAACTTTTGAACTTCGAGCTGCCTTGGAACGGAGGAATTTCTGTCTTTCCTTGGGTGATTTTGATCCGTCATAGAAGGTGGGTTGCCTTTTATTTTCAGCTACGTCGTCGTACTGTGGATCATGTCTTTGGTGGTCACTAGGCAGTTTCTGAGAATTTCTGGCTGATTATCATAAAATTTGAAAAATCAGTGATTTTCTTGTCTTTCCGTGATAGACTCGCTGGTTCTGTCAATAGCATCGGGCTCTGTGACTATTGTCTGCTCTAGTTTGGTGTATTCGGAGCGGCTTTGGACTCCGTGGATATCTCCGGCAACGGAATTTAAACGACCGGTGAAAATTATGATTCTCGACCGGTGATGCGGTTCTGTCTGGGTCATCAAACGTACATCGCTCTATACTTTTGGAGTTATTTCGAAGCTTCGCACACGACAGAAAATTTGAATACAGATTAATCTGTAGCATAGCTATTAGGTCTTTGTCCGATCTATTACTCTTACGACATGTTCTAATAGCTATACCTTCCTTACCATTTCAACTAACCATATCACGGCAATTGTACAAAAATCTATTTAAATATAACATAATACTAAGTGTCCCAGAAAGGTTAAGACATAACTTTATTTTCTATATATTGTTGTGATATATTATACTTAAATAAATAAAGACTGTTCTAAATAAGAAGTTTCGATCTAAACAGTTTCAGATTGATAAAAAATATTGATTAGTAATACCACATTCAGAGGTAAATTCACATTACACTAGAAAGGAATGAACTCCTCGAAATAGTGGAAAATATAGATATCTACATTTTTTTTATAAACACTAAAATCATATAAAAACATAAAATTTGAAAAGAGTATATTTTAAACATTTGTACGTAACTAAATTCTAAAAAAGGTAACAATGAATAACGTTGTTCTTTCTTTCCTTTAAACTTGAATTGCAAATGTTATGTAGAGCTGTAAATGTAAACAACACTCATAGCAGATAAGTATCAGTGACCACTCCAGTGACCAGAGTAGATCACAGCATCCTTAAATATGGTTGATTTGTAGGCTTTTGTGACGGTCAATGGTTGAAAGTTTCTAAAGTTTCTAAGCTAGTTGCCGCGTCGTTGGTTTAGAATTGATGTTCCGAAAGATATATCGCTCTCTTCAAAAGATCATTATAATTTTATGTTCACTGAAAACGAATAGCAGATTTACGCTTTTGACTATTTCTCTTGATAAATGAAAAATGTAAACAAATGTCTTTATATCGATTTTCTTACAAATTCTATTTCTGTATTGTTCTTATACTTCCTGTATAAGTTTTTATTTTTACTAAAGTAATTAAATGTTTTGTTACAGCATTTAGTAAGTGGATGGTTTTGGGATTATAGCTATAAATGTCAACCTGTGGATTACTCAAATAACTACAAAGCACTTAGGGTAAGTATATACTAAATTTCAGTTATACGTTATAATTCATTCATTTTCAGTCACACCAAAAATAACAGCTATATATACCGGGTATCCAAACTGGCGGATGCACTATATTTTTTGCGATTCAAAGGTACATTTGAAACACTTTTATGATGTTTTAACTAAAATTTATTTCGTCAAACTTGAAATTTTAAACGAAATAAACATAAATATAAGTCATATTTAAATTTCGAAAATTATGAACGCTTTTGATTCAATCGAAAAAAAAGAAAATGAAAAGATAGAAAATGATTTATATATCAAATAAGATCATGTGTTGCCAAGTTGTCTAGGGGTGACTGGTTTGGGTTACCCGGTATGTATAATTTCGTATATTTCGCTGTTTATATTTATATCGAACCAATTGACAATAACGTAGAAAGATGTAAAATAATGAAACACATGTGCAAGGATGCAATATTAAAATTATTATCATTAATATAATTTTTCTATGATCTTATTCTTAAACGTGACAAGAAAAATGTGTCGAAAAACTGAAAACGATTGTCTGATATTCAACACAGATATAGTAGTTTAACCGTTCCAAATTTTATTAAAATAACTAAATGATTTTCTTATTTAAAAAGAGAATATTATTTCCAGTGACCTACTTTTTATAAAATAAATATTAATTATCCATACCCCTCATCAGCGTTTGCGTGTTAAACGTTTCAAAATCGCTATTCATGATTGCAAAAGTTCTTCCGCTTAAAATGCATTGTTAGAAAAACAGTCCTAAGATATTACTGAAAACTTATATGCATATTAATATAAAGTCTGATAATAGTTAGCAACCAAATAAAATCAAAGGTGGATCTTGAAAAAGTTGCTAATACATAAAAAATTTGCTTTTTCATACTGCTTCGACGTCCACTCATTAATTCCACGAAAAGTAAAATTAAGTAGGACATAAATACCTGTTAATAAATTATCGTGGCAGCATTTCTTATGATTATTACAACGTCAATTTTAATTAATTTAACATTTATTACTACTACTACTTATATTAGTAAATTATTCGAGTTTTTTGCTTTTATTAAGAAATGCGTTGTAACCAAAGCCTAACTTTTATTACCGGTGATATTCACCTTAGTGACACTCTTAATATATCAATATAAAACAGGGCATAAAATATGGTTATTCTAGTAGAAATAATTTATAATACGTTTAACTTTCTTATTATTCTGTCATTAATAGTAACATTATTGAAGATTATTGCACAACAGTTACTGATTATTGTCAACGATACAGTTTTCCAATAAACCTTTTTCATGTTGGTTTTTTCTTATTTGTAAATAAGAAAAGAGTAAAAAAATAACATACGGATTCAGTTTCAAACCATTTTCTCATTCCATTTTAAATCTTCAGATCACAACGGCATCAAACTGTTCCCAGATAAAATTTTTCTAACAATGTCATGTTGTAGATGGCCAACTTGTGCTGGTGGTACTATATATCTAAGCTAACCGAATTCGCCGACACGCTCTTCTTTGTTCTACGTAAGAAGGACAGTCAGGTCAGTTTTCTCCACCTCTATCACCACAGTTTGACGCCCTTGGAAACATGGATCCTCGTTAAATTTATTGCTGGTAAGTATTAGCTTACCTCTTCAAAATAAATCAAATTGTTCGATCAGTACTCAGTATTAGCAAATGTCATTTCATGAAAAAAAATGCGTTACAGAAAATGGTTTTATCAATGACACAATTTGCTTCAACACTAACAAAGCTCTATTTTCTTTTTATATCAACAAATACGTATACTTCTTTCTTCTTTCTCATCTTTAAAGAAGCATTCGAATATCTACAAACAACAAGTTATGTTTTGTTCACACTTTAAGTTATACCCGTTAATTCCTTCAAATATTTTTGATAAAGACTTAGTGTTTACTTCAATCCACTTACTAATAATTTGCGTAGAGTAACTATAGATCCATAACCATATCAGGAAACTCTAAATTACATTCACCATTTCAGTTAACAATTATAACACCATTACAAGCTATTTTGGTACAATTTCCAGCCTAGGTAGATAAGTGTATATTCTGTCGATAAAACCCCACCGTTATAAAACTATAAAGTACTATATAAAGCTAGAGTATATCAACAGGTTTGAAATAAAAAAAATACGAGGGTGTTTCCATAATATAGTATTAAACGAAACCATAAGATGTCATTTTAAGAAAAACGTTGTCCAAGAACTTGGTCACAAAACAGAAGGGTCATAAAAGAGCATTACCAAATGCACATGCTTTTAAATAATTCCGAAATGACTAATTAAATCTGAGTCAAACTCGCTTTAACTGCTGATTTAGATAGATAGAGGAACACTTTTTTCCCTATTCGGTGTGGTGAAGATACAGTCTAAAAAAGTTATTCTTTACATTTGCAATAAGATAATACATTTTTCTAAAATGGTGTTGAATTTAAGCAACTTTGAACCGCCTGTATTATCGTCTTCATATGTAAATTTCCTTCAAACTGTAAACGAATTTTGATTGCTTCAGTACCAACTCCCATTTCGTCCTTCCGAAAAAAATTAAATTTAAAATCAAGAAAATAATAAAATGGGCTATAATTTATTACTTTAAATAAAAACACCTAAATAAGAGAACTATTGTTGTACCTTGTTGTTGCATCTTTGGATATTAAAAATTAATGGCACATTAACTGACTATAACTGGACATTTGCAATTGGCATAAACCCATAAATACAAGTTAATGAGTAATAAAACACCTGCAGAAAAACGATTCCCTATTAAATTCGAAATAATAATAAACTTTTAACATGGTGAAAGAAGACATGCGTACTGAAATTACGTTCTTCATAACTTAATTATGATATGGTTGATAATTTCAATGGTAACAGATGTTTAATGTACAATTTTCTGCAGTCGCCGTTTAAATGAGTTATACTACTAAAGATTTAAGTGAAACCCATTCATGTTATATAACTCTTGATTCAACTTTAGATTCTAAATTACAAATAATTGCAATAATCATCTGCATCTTGCTGTAAACTGTAGACCAGCTCGTTGAACTCCAGGTCTGGACTAGATAAGTTTTACAAAAATACATGCGAATATTAAATGTAAACGAGTGCATTACTAAAAATTAATTTTTTAAATTTTAATTTAACTTATAAAGCAACTACCTACACATTTTTAGTTGGTTTACTACATTTTTTGTATTCGAAATACAACTTTTTGCAAATCAAATTCAAGCTCTTCCTCTAAAACATTTAATTTTTTAAGCTTTAAACATCAAATCAAATATTTTTCAGTACATATTAAAACGGATATTGTAATGTTTTTTGCTTTTTTAAGACAAACATTATTGGGACAATCATATTGAGATAATAATAAAAATTATAAACCTATTTATTATATGTTTCATTCCTAATACGATGAATTTCATTTTCAAGGGGGTAAATTTGATTTTTAAGACCTTCAATATACAGTGCAAATTCTACCTGTTAACAAAGAAAATACGACTAATTATATATACTTTTTATATTTTATAACTTTAAGATCTACAATTACATGTAATTGTTTATTCAATGGCATTGACGTAATATTATAAATTGAGAGATCAGTTTTTGTGACGATATTACATGACAAATATTTTGTGGTCGTAACGATTCTCAAAATCAATTATTTTGCCTGTCAGAAGGTAAATTACATCAAAATAAATGACGTTGAAAAAAAAGAAGCTTATTTAGAATATGTTTCCTTTTAACTATTATGAATTAATTTTAAAATTAAGATCATTAGTTTTTATTTCTGTTGACGTATTACACTTATAATTGCTATAAACTGAATAAACACGTTCTCAGTTATTTACCTACCATTTATGTTAATTATAAACAACATAATTACAAATGTGTTTATTTGCTTTAAAAAATAGGTGTATCTTATTTATCTTCTGCATCAGTCAGTTTAATTACATACTGAAAATGTTGTTATAACAAAGAGAGTAACCAATAATAATCTCTTCCTTCCCTTTCACTCCCTGTAAATATGTTTATGAATCTATTACATATATACAGTATGGTGCAAATGAAAGGAATAAATCAATTATTTTGTAAATTGGCGACTTTGGAATAATCCTGAAACAGGTCAATTTTATTTTTAAAAATGCCTTCTGCGAGCTATTTGTTTTACATATGACGTCATCTGTGTGACAGTGATGACGTCATCGATGTTTTATTTTAAATACAAATGGGTCTAAGAAAATTACAAGACCTTTCAAAGGAGCTATCGCTTGACCCAAATTTGTATTTAAAAAAAAAACATCACTGTCACACAAATGACATCATGTGTAAAATAAATATCTCACAGAACGCACTTATACATATATACTTAAACTCTAGAATAGATTAATTATATCAAAAGTGTTTGTCCATTTTTATTGATTCTGAACGCAAATAACAACTGTAGTTAAATGCGCACTTGTATACAAAACGTATTCATTCTAAAGTGGGTTTTCCGCAAATGTTATTTTTCATAATTTCTCATAGAATTTTATGATTCCACGCGTCTAACCAAGGTCTAAAATATAAGATTTACGAATAACAAACTTATTTTTTACGCTCTTTTTATATTTGCCATTTCACGATAGTTTTTATTTTTTCCAGATTTTCTGTCTATAATTTTTTACAGTAAGTGTCCTTTTTGTCCTTAGTGCACTCCTGGTGCATCATGTGTGCACCGAAAGAAATAGATATTTATGTACAATGCAGAACTTTCTAACCAGTTCTGTAGAATTCGTGTTTTTCAAACAGAAATGGCAACACACTCGAAGCAAGTTGGCCAATGATTAAACAATTATTATTAGTGGGGCGATGCCTAAAATATTGAGGCTGTTAAATGGTAGAAGCCGTTTCATACAATACTTGTAATTTAGTTAAGAGAAAAAGTAAGACTGTGTAACACAATTATAAATTTAATAAAATGTGGGACAGTAGGTTGTTAAAAAGACTACGAATAATATTCAATCATATGCATTCGATTACAGTGTTGAGAAAGAATATTTATCGTTTGATTGAACTCTTCTTTAATAATAATTTATCAAAATTTTGACATTGCAATCTTTATAAATTATTATTAAATTGCACATAAACAGCAAAAATGACAAGAAACTATTTTCGTTCACAATAAAATTTTCATTTAAAAAATCACTTTTTTCCAGTGCCAAAGTTTTTGAGATAAATGTAATCAGCACATGTCTAAGCCACTGGTTTGAGTTAAGAATTATTTTTTTCACATTGAATGCCATTTGATTAATGTATTTCTTTCGTAAAATTTAATTTCAATATTTTTATTTATTCAGAAAATATTTACGCATATTACAATTTTTCAGAAAAGTAACAGCCTATATATCAAAGGCGGGGGGATTTCAATAAATTATTTATAACATTATTTTTACTATTCTATGAATCCCTAAATTTTGTGTTAAAATTCGGGATCCCTTTTACACAGGTATATTTGTATTTATTTAAAAAACATATTTTTCTTAGATATTATACAATAGTTAAAAATAAATTAGATAAAACTATTAAATGATACAAATATACAAATCAATGTCATTTCAATAATTGTATGATTTTCGAAGTCACAGAAAAGAGAATTGTTTTTCTGGTCTGGAGGTCAGACTATATCTACTACATGTTTTTGGGGTTGCTAAATCAGAATCCGTGATCCATTAACCCCATCACGTCAGGTTTTACCAATAACCCCATATCCTCATAACCCAAGCTGTCAAGTCTTATTACATATAACGATCCTGTAAAGGAAGCTGTTCTCCCACAGTAATCCTATAATCCTATACATTTATCCCCAATCCTGCTAACCCCATAACCGAATAATCATAACCCCATAACTGATAACTCCAATAACCACGTTACTCAATAGTTTGACTTGATCTCTCATTGCGAGATATGTCAGCGATATATAAACAGAATATATTTAACCCTATAATGTTCCAACTCCCCAACCCCATAACAATATAACCCCATAACTCCAATAACCACGTAACGCAGTAAACTGGGAGCCAATAACGATATAGATGTTCCTTGCACCAAACAATCGAACTACTGGTTAACGTGGTTATTGGAGTTATGGGATTAAAGAGCTATGGAGTTAGGGGGTTGGAAGATAATAGGGTTGTTTAAATTCTGTTTATAGAGCCCTGTGATGAGAGATCAAGTCAAGCTACTGAGTATAACATGGTTATTGGAGTTATCGGTTATGGGGTTATGGGATTATACGGTTATGGAGTTAGGAGGTTTGAGGTTGAATGTTACGCAGTAGTTCGATTGTTTGATGCAAGGAACATAGTCTATATCGTTATCGGCTCCCAGTTACTGTGTAACATGATTATTTGAGTTATGGAGTTATGGGGTTAGGGGTTCGATGATTATTATAGTCATACTCATACTCATACTCATACTCATACGCATACTGTTTATTGCCCATCTATATACATGTGTACACTTTAAGTCACAATAAGTCACATTAAGAAAGAAAGTAGGGTTAAATATATTATGTTTATAGAGCCCTGATATATCCCACGATGTGAAATCAATTAAT